GATGAGATCTGGAGAACTTCTCTGGTGTGAGGGTGGTGAGAGCCCAGGTTGCCCAGAGAAGCTGTGGCTGCCCCATCCCTGGAGGGGGTTCAAGGGCAGGTTGGAGGGGGCTTGGAGCAACCTGGGCTGGTGGGAGGTGTCCCAGGACCACGGGGGGTGGAACTAGATGATCTTTAATGTCCCTTCCAACCCAAACCACTCCATGATTCCCTGAAAAACAAGCTGAAGGCGCGGGGCCAACAGCCAGGGAACCTCCAGCAGCCTCAACTGACCCAAACCCAACTCCCCCCCCTCACCTCGGATACAGGATGCGGCGATAACACATTCCCCGGCTTTTCCCCCTTCCCAACAAAAATAGACATGACCCAATTTCCTTCGGGGGGAGATAGATATGGATTTTGGAGGGGTTTTGCTGAAGCAGCTCTGCAGCAGGAAATCACAGAAAGGGAGACCCACGAATTTAAGCCGCTGCTGCGTCGAAAGGCGGCGGCCGAAATCGGAGAAATCCCCTCACAGAGAGCGGGGCGAAGCCCATCTCCAAAATTAAATTCCTTCAGGAGTAAAAACTGGGGGAAAAATCCAACCTTGATGACTGCTAGGGGAGCTCCTCTTGCCAATTTCTATTACAGCAACAAATATTAACGGGGTGTATCATTGTGGAGTATTTAATTTAACTAAAAATGAGCATTTCCACTTTTTTCTTCCAGCGAGGAAACTGCCCGGAAACTATTCATCTTTGGAATTTTGTGGGAATGATGGGTAATCTGGGGGAAATACCTTAAATTAGAATGAAAGGGCCAATTCTGAAGTTTCATTTTGAAGTTCCATCTCAACACGAGGAGGAACTTCTTTCCTGTGAGGGTGGCAGAGCCCTGGAAGAGGCTGCCCAGAGAGGTGGTGGAGTCTCCTTCTCTGGAGACATTCCAACCCCACCTGGTTGGGTTCCTGTGCAACCTGCTCTGGGTGGGACCTGCTTTGGAAGGGGGTTGGACTAGATGATCTCCAGAGGTCCCTTCCAACCCCGTATCATTCTGTGAAGCAGCAAGACTTTAACCTAGGGAAAGCATTAACCTGCTTGGCAAAGATGCTTAAAGCTTATAACACGGCTCTTAAAAGAACAAAATTCAGGGAACTACTTAGAAAACAAGAGCATTGGGTTTGGGTTAAACTAAGAGGAAGGAATGTTCACCGTCACCAGAAATCGCTTTTTAGCTAAAAAGAACCCAGAAATAATCTTTTAAGGAGATCAAAAAATTAGCACGAAGTTGAAAAAACTCAAAACTCAAATATTTTCACTTCCTTCTTAAATATTACCCGAGTTACACGCTCGGTTTTCCTCCCTGTCGTGAAAAAAAAAGTGTTTTGCAGGAACAAAGTTACATTTTCTCTTTTTTACAGAAGGAAAATAATTCCCACCCGGAATCCATCGAGCAGGTTCTACAGATGATGCTGCACCGACCCTAAAATCGGTGACTCCAGTGATTTCAAACCTCTGTTGTATCAACCCTGATTTTGGGAGAGGAATTGTGACCACGCCACCTGCTGACCAAAGACAGCCAGGTAGGACGTAGGTGATGGAACCCTGAGTAAAAGCAGATGAGGTTTTGGCTGTGTCCAACACAAGACTTAAACCAGTAGCTCTAGAGGGACAGGAATACTGGTAGCACTGGGAACTGCCAAGCACGGGCAGGAGGACAGAGTCTTCTCAGTGAAACCTGGATCATGCAGGGAGGAGGAGGAGAAGTTCTGGGCTCCCCAGTTCCAGGAGGACAGGGAACTGCTGGAGAGGGGACAGCAGAGGGCTACAGAGATGATCAAGGGACTGGAGCATCTCTCTGATGAGGAAACACTGAGGGATTTGAGTCTTTTGAGTCTGGAGAAGAGAAGGCTGAGGGGGGATCTGATCAAGGCCTGCAAATACTTCAAGGGTGGGTGTCAGGAGGATGGGGCCAGGCTTTTTTCAGTGGTGCCCAGGGACAGGACAAGAGGGAACAGGCACAAACTTGACCATAAGAAGTTCCATCTCAACATGAGGAGGAACTTCTTTCCTGTGAGGGTGGCAGAGCCCTGGCAGAGGCTGCCCAGAGAGGTGGTGGAGTCTCCTTCTCTGGAGACATTCCAACCCCACCTGGACACGTTCCTGTGGGACCCGCTCTGGGTGGGCTTGCTTTGGCAGGGGGTTGGACTAGATGATCTCCAGAGGTCCCTTCCAACCCCATGTCATTCTGTGATTCCCTGAAGTTTGCTGAGCAGGTCAGCTCTTGGGGCAGGGAGGCAGTGAAAGACCAAAGGAAGCATTTGAGAACTAAGTGCAGTTTCAGTGGTTGCATCCACCAAAGGGCAGCCCAAAAATACCAGCCGTGTTTCGTAACCATCTCCTCACGCTGGGATTATTCACCCCTCCTTGACGCTGTGGTCCCTTTTTGTGGTTACTCTTTGCTCTTTCAAGGCTGAAAGAAAGAAAGGAAAGCAACATCTCCTCTACTTCGCCCGTGGGCGTGGAGAAGGGAGAGCAGCTGATCTTCTCTCCCTCTCCCTTCCCCTCTGCGGGTCGGGACGGCGCCTGGCTCAGACGTGGCCAAGGAAGAGCTCTGATCTTCAAGCTTCTACATTTAAACCACCACAACGTGTCCACGCAGCAGATACCACCAGAGGACCAAACCTAGACCCGTCCCATCAGCTGGGAAGTTCAGGCATCTCTTTTCAGCTCCTCCCGGGCTCCACCTCAACGTTTCACACCAAGCTCAAGAGTTGATTAAACACGAAGGATTACTCAGCCGAAGGAAAAACTTTATTTTTCATCTGCATTTTTAATTTGGGTTAAAAAAGTATAAATTCTTAGAGCTCCGCTACTCACACGAACCACGGCAATGGAGGGCTGTTTGTGTGACTCTTCTATCTCCGTTCCTGACTCAGGCTGTCATGTGGTTGTGATTAAACAGCAAACCCTTCAAAAAAAACAACAAAACCAACAAAAAAAAGAATAAAACTACCCAAAAGACATAAAAACCAGGAGTCATGATTTCCCTACGCAATTAGAAGATCACCCGAAGGCGCTGGCAGGAAAGATTAGAGGGGAGCATGATCGGAGGAACCTAAGGATGGTCTGGAGTGTGTCCGGTGAGGAAACCCCCGGGGGAATCCAGAACCAGAGAGGAACTGGCAGCTTCTCAGAGCTTCTCCTGGGCCCAGGAAACCCAGGGCAGCTCTGGGGGCTGGAGAACTTTTGATCCTATGGAAGGAAAGGGCCTGGTGGGCCCAAGCACTGGTTCATGCAGCCACCACAATCCCACACGAAAGGAATAGGCAGACACTGCAGGACAAAGGTTTTGTCTTTTACGAGGGGTGGGGATGACTTTGGTTCCCTTAAATGGAGTTTGATTTTCTCCTAGAGGAAGAAGTTCAAGGTTTCTCCTCTACAAAGAAAAGGGGGATTTGTTCATCAGCTGATACCAATCAACTTCTTCAACTTCCTGCAAGAGCAGAAAGGCCCTACTGTCTCTGATGGGTTTTCCCACCCTGGATTTCACCCTTGAAAAACCAGCTCGGGTTTGTTGAGTTGCTCCAACTCATCACACGGTGCTGGCCTTCCCCAAACTCACGCAAACATTGGTGTTCTTCAGCCAAGCCCACACAGATCGTGCCCCGTCATCCCGTTATCTGGGTTCAGCAACACCAGCTGCATCTTTGCACTGATCCCTCTGAAGTAGAAGAGGAAAGAAAGGTGACTCTATCCCTTTGCAGAATCCCAGAATGATATGGGGTTGGAAGGGACCTCTGGAGACCATCTACTCCAACCCCCTGACAAAGCAGGGCCACCCAGAGCAGGCTGCACAGGAATGGGTTCAGGCGGGGTTGGAATGTCTCCAGAGAAGGAGACTCCACCACCTCTCTGGGCAGCCTCTGCCAGGGCTCTGCCACCCTCACACGAAAGAAGTTCCTCCTCATGTTGAGATGGAACTTCTGATGGTCAAGTTTGTGCCCGTTCCCTCTTGTCCTGTCCCTGGGCACCACTGAAAAAAGCCTGGCCCCATCCTCCTGACACCCACCCTTCAAGTATTTATGGGCCTTGATCAGATCCCCCCTCAGTCTTCTCCAGAGTCAAAAGCCCCAAGTCCCTCAGCCTTTCCTCAGCAGAGAGATGCTCCAGTCCCTTGATCATCTTCGTAGCCTCTGCTGTCCCCTCTCCAGCACCTCCCTGTCCTTCTGGAACTGGGGAGCCCACAACTGGACCCAGTGCTCCAGCTGGGGCCTCCCCAGGGCAGAGCAGAGGGGCAGGATGACCTCCCTCCACCTGCTGGTCCCACTCTTCCTGATGCCCCCCAGGATGCCATTGGCCTTCTTGGCCACCAGGGCCCATTGCTGGCTCATGGGAATCCTGTTGTCCACCAGGACTCCCAGGTCTTTCTCCTCAGAGCTGCTCTCCAGCAGGTCACCCCCAACCTGTCCTGGTGCAGGGGGTTATTCCTCCCCAGGTGCAGCACCCTACGCTTGCCCTTGTTGAATTTCACAATTAGAGCCATAAGTGTGTAATGAAATAAATGGAAGCTATCCTAGTTCAGGCACTGGGAACGGACCAGTGTCCCAGCACACACTCAGTGTGTGTTTTTATTTCCCCCTTTCCTCCCCCCAGGGGCGGCTCCAGACCCTGTCCCTCAGCAGGACGCCTACCAGGGGAGCCGCAGGGTTCATTGAGCGACCAACACCCCGACCCCATTCCGCCATTAAACCCTCCTTTTATACGCTTAAAACTCTTTTTTTTTTTTCCTCCAGCACTCACGGGGCGCAGCCTCCGCTCCTGCTAAGCGTCCCCGGCTCTCCACGGCGAACCAGGGAGACCTCCGTGGGCTCTGTCACCCCCAGGGAGCCGGCAGCCTCACCGCTCGCCCCTAAATCTCCTCAGGCCGCCATGATGGCCGCCCCGCCCTCCCCTCAGCCTCCCGCGCCTGCGCACGTCCCCGGCGTCATGACGTCACTTCCGCCGCGGCGCGGGGGTTGCCATAGCGACGCGCGGTGGCGCGGCCTAGTGGTCGCTGCGGCGGCCATGGAAGGCCAGCGGTTGCGGGAGGTGACCGGTGCTTTCCCGCTCTCCCTGGCCTTGGTGAGGGTCGCGGGTGGAGCCCGCTCCGCTCTCGGGGGTGCGGGGGCTTTGGGCGGTGTACGCTCTTGAATTGGTGTTCACCTAAACGTGAGGAGGAACTTCTTTCCCCTGAGGGAGCCTCTACCCGTGTGGGGCGAGGTTGTCCTTTTGGGGGTTTCAAAGCGGGGTTGTGGGGCTGCGTGAGATGTTTAGAGCCCCGTGGAGCTGTGATGGAGAGGGAGGTGGCTGGAGGTTACTTCTGGTGAGAACATTTAAGCGTAAAGCAAACATTCTCTTGGATATATAGGGTAATATTGAAGCTCTCGTCTGGGCACCTGAGACCCTTTCATGCTCTTGAACTGGTGTTCACCTAAACATGAGGAGGAACTTCTTTCCATTGAGGTGGCAGAGCCCTGGCAGAGGCTGCCCAGAGAGTTGGTGGAGTCTCCATCTCTGGAGACATTCAAACCCCACCTGGACACGTTCCTGTGGGACCTGCTTTGGCAGGGGGTTGGACTAGATGATCTCCAGAGGTTTCTTCCAACCCCATATCATTCTGTGATTCTGTGTTGTGCTCTTCAAGGGAAGGCTTGTAGGGATTTACCCTTAATTATCTTAAATTTCCATCATTTGGTGTTGTCACAGCATCCCAGATTGGAAGGGACCTCAAGGACCATCCTGTCCAACCTATCTTGGCACAAGGTGCCCCAGTGCCCTCTCCAGCTGAATCTTAAACCTGTCCAGCGATGGAGAATCCACCGCTTCTCTGGGGAGATCATTCCAATGGCTGATTGTTCTCACCATGAAAAACCTTCCTCTTGTGCCCCATTGGAATCTCACCTGGTGTAACTTGTACCCCTCACCCCTTGTTTTTCCACGTGACTCCTTGTAAAAAGGGAGTTTCCATCTTCTTTACAGTCACCCTTTAAATACTGCAATGTGGTGATAAGATCTCCCCTAAAGTTTCTATCCTCGAGGGTCAACAAACTCAATTTTTTCAGCCTTTCCTCACACATCAGGCTTCCCAGGCCTTGGATCAGCTTGGTGGCCCTTCTCTGGACCCTCTCCACCTTCTCCACATTTTTTTTTTCATAGAAGTGACCAAAACTGAACGTTGTATTCCAGGTGTGGCCTGACAAGCGCCACAAATACTTATTTGCTCATGAATTCAACTTAAAAACAAAGCCTGGAACGACCGATTATGTATTTACCACTGACATTTGTTTTCTCTTCCAGAAAGCCAAGCCTCCGAAGGAACAACCCAGCGAGAATTTCGTCTTCGCCTGCAGACAGAAAGAACAGGAGCTCCTGGAACACGTCGATTTGTTGAAGCTCTACAACCAGTTTCGCCACGTCTCCCAGTGGCACGAGCGCAACGAACGGAAATGGCTGCACTGCGCCGTGCAGAGAAAGGTGGAGGCCACGATGAGGGAATACCAGGCGGGGACAGATGAGAGAAGAGAGAGGTAGCAAACAAGTAGCTCCTACCAATATCTGCCGTGATATTTGCAGCTTAAAATACACCTGGAGGAATGATTATAGGGAAAAACAGCTTCCGACGTTACGCTGTGCGTTGGGGTGTGGAATTTGTTATTTGTTGTAACAGAAAGTGCTTATTTGTGGGCTTATTTGTTGGTCAGAGCAAACAGTAGTCGTTGGGGTCTTGTTATTAATCACTGAGCCAATCCCAGAATGATATGGGCTTGGAAAGGACCTCTGGAGATCATCTACTCCAAACTCCAACCCCCTTCCAAAGCAGGTCCCACAGGAACGTGTCCAGGTGGGGTTGGAATGTCTCCAGAGAAGGAGACTCCACCACCTCTCTGGGCAGCCTCTGCCAGGGCTCTGCCACCCTCAAAGTGAAGAAGTTCCTCCTCATGTTTAGGTGGAACTTCTTATGTTCATGTTTGTGCCCATTTCCTCTTGTCCTATCCCTGGGCACCACTGAAAAAAGCCTGGCCCCATCCTCCTGACACCCACCCTTCAAGTATTTATAGGCCTTGATCAGATCCCCCCTCAGTCTTCTCTTCTCCAGACTCAAAAGCCCCAAGAAGTGAAGAAGTTCCTCCTCATGTTTAGGTGGAACTTCTTATGTTCATGTTTGTGCCCATTTCCTTTTGTCCTGTCCCTGGGCACTAGTGAGAAGAAGCAGCGGTGTCCTTTTTCTGCCTTTCCTCCCTTCATACATGAAGATCCCCCTGAACCTTCTCTTCTCCAGGCTGAGCAGCCCCAGCTCTTTCAGGAGCCTTTTAGGAGAGGTTCTCCAGTCCCTCAATCATCTCACTGCCCCTTCGCTGGGCTCGTTCTGCTACGGCTGCATCTTCCTTGTACTGGGGAGCCCAGAACTGGTCCCAGCGCTCCAGATGAGGTCCCACCAGTGGGAGGAAGGTCCCACCAGTGCCGAGAGGAAGGATCACCTCCTGGAAGTGCTCTTCCTCCCATAACCCAAGATGCCGTTGCCCTACTTTGCCACAAGGGTGCATTGATGGATCACGATTCACCTCCTCGTCTGCCAGGAGCCCCTGGTCCCCTTTTCCATCAGAGCTGCTTTCCAGCCAGGGCTTGTTCCTTCCAAGGTGTAGGGATTTTGTTGAACTTGATGGGGTTTTATGAACTTTATATGGGATTTAGTTGCTTGAGAAGCCCCGTGGAAGGAGACTGTAGTGCTGGGAGGTATGGTTTAGTGATGATGCTCCTTGTTTGTTGTGTGGGTGTCTATTTTTGTCAGTTAGGTTGACGGTTGGACAAGATGATCTTTAAGGTCCCTTCCAACCTAGAAGATTCTGTGATTCTGTGAAGAGCGTGCGACTCAGTTTCCAGAATTAATCCCTCTTTGGCTTTGCTGCTGTAATTCCACACTTGAGAAGCCCCGTGGAAGGAGACTGTGAGGTGAAAAGAGTGCAATTCAGTTTCCACAATTAATCCCTCTTTGGCTTTGCTGCTGTAATTCCCACCAGCAGTTCCAGCTCATCCCTGTTGCCTAAAAGTGAGAGTGATTTCCCAGAGGCCTCCGTAGCGTTTGGGCTGGAATTAGTGAGTTTGTGGATTCCTTCGCTTCACCTTTCTTACTGCTGGGATTAATAGAGAGGTAAACAGTAGTGTATTTAAAAATTGCCAATTTGTCATAATTTTCAAAGATCTTTCTTGGAAAGAGTTGAGGGAGTGATGCTAAAAATAACAAAAGGTAGTTTGGGAGAAGGTAGAATTATAGCTGCTTAGAAAAGGGTGGTAAATCCCAGGGAGGGATGAGGCTGAAGGATAACGACAGTAAAAGATCAAATTGATATCAACTGGTGACAAATGTAGCCTAAAAATGAGAAGAATTTGTTTAACTGAAGCTGGAAAGCAAAATTGGAAATGGGTTTGTGAGATCAGGAGCTTCAAACCTGCCAGGATAGAATATCTCCTGTTCTGCTGGAAGATTTTCTCCGTGGGCACGACAGGAATGATCCTGGAGTTAAAATTTGATGTTTCCAGGAAATTAGAACTTTATCATTCAACAGAAATACTGTTTTAGCTTTTATTTTAAATGGTTTCATTCCAGGCTTCGCGAGCTTCTGGAAGCGGAAGAATGTCGGTACCTCACGGAGATGGAAGCCCTGGAAGAAACGGTACTGGAGAAACAAATGAAGATGAGGAAGCGAGTGAAATTACTGCGAGAGAAGAGAGAAAAAGAAAGACAACAATTAGTGGCTGAAAAACGAGAGCAGCAATTCAGGTGTGTTACAAAATGGTAATGGTTCTACTCCAGCTTTCGCTTACTGGAGTGAAAAGGGTTCACAGAAGGTTAATTTGGCCTAAATCATGCTAATTAAGATAACACAGTAAAGAGCCTTGAAAAGTTAAGATTGTCCACAAAGACACAGTTTTATTTATTGCATGTTTTTCACAGAATCCCAGAATGCTATGGGGTTGGAAGGGACCTCTGGAGATCATCTCCTCCAACCCCCTGCCAAAGCAGGGCCACCCAGAGCAGGTCCCACAGGAACGTGTCCAGGTGGGGTTGGAATGTCTCCAGAGAAGGAGACTCCACCACCTCTCTGGGCAGCCTCTGCCAGGGCTCTGCCACCCTCAAAGTGAAGAAGTTCCTCCTCATGTTGAGATGGAACTTCTTATGGTCAAGTTTGTGCCCGTTCCCTCTTGTCCTGTCCCTGGGCACCACTGAAAAAAGACCTGCCCCATCCTCCTGACACCCACCCTTGAAATATTTATAGATGTTCATCAGATCCCCCCTCATCTTCTCTTCTCCAGACTCAAAAGCCCCAAGTCCCTCAGCCTTTCCTCATTAGAGAGATGCTCCAGTCCCTTGATCATCTTTGTAGCCCTCTGCTGTCCCCTCTCCAGCAGTTCCCTGTCCTTCTGGAACTGGGGAGCCCAGAACTGGTCCCAGTGCTCCAGATGGGGCCTCCCCAGGGCAGAGCAGAGGGGCAGGATGACTTCCCTCCACCCGCTGGTCCCACTCTTCCTGATGCCCCCCAGGATGCCATTGGCCTTCTTGGCCACCAGGGCCCATTGCTGCCTCATGGGCATCCTGTTGTCCACCAGGTCTTTCTCCTCAGAGCTGCTCTCCAGCAGGTCAGCCCCACCCTGTCCTGGTGCAGGGGGTTCTTCCTCCCCAGGTGCAGCACCCTGCACTTCTTCAAGAGTCCCAGCTGCAGCGAAGGTTTTAATTCAACCTCAAATTCTCTGCCAAACCTTCTGGATGCTGAGCTGAGCAGCATCTTTTGAAGACATTAAGATTTTTGGGTGTTTATCAGGCCCGGAGGCCTTGGCACGGACTCTGATTTGTTCAGTTCTTGGAAATCTGGTTTGTTTTTCATCCCTTCCTTTGGGCATAAACTCTTTATTAACTAATTTCACAGATAAATGTCAGTTTCTTAGATGTGGGGTTCATCGATTGAGGCAGATGTTAAGACAGCTTCTAAATTTACATCCTGGCTTGAAAATACGGCCCTTGCCATTTATAATTCCTAGGTTTTTTTCCCTACCCACGCACAAAGCGGGTGAAATTAACTTTTAAAATTATTGAGAGGAGACACTGATGGAGCCTTTTTTATTTTGTACTTGTAGCTTGTTTTATGTGCCAAGGAGAAGGGGTTCAGCTTGTGATTTTGACACCTAAAATTGGGTGTCTAAGCGTCGTTATCTTTATTTTCAGTGGGAATTTGAAATCCTGCTCTACTCAGTAGATCTTCATTGGGATCAGGACAGTTCAAGGAACCTAATGCCATCCTGAAGTAGGTATAGGTTGATCTTCCAACTGAACTGCACCCCAGCCTCTGCTAATTGCATTGATTAGGTTCCTGTTGATTAGAATGGGAATTTAGTTTACATGTAGATTCACATTAAGATGCCTAATTTTAGATATTTTAATCACAAAGTGCTCCAGGCCCTTAATCATCTTGAGGAGGGACTGTTTATGAGGGAGGGGAGTCATAGGATGAGGGGGAATGCTCCAGGCCCTTAATCATTTTGAGGAGAGACTGTTTATGAGGGAGGGGAGCCATAGGATGAGGGGGAAGGGTTTGACCCTGAAAGAGGGGAGATTGAGATGAGATGTGGGGAAGAACTTGTTTGGTGTGAGGGTGGTGAGACCATGGCCCAGGTTGCCCCGAGAAGCTGTGGTTGGAGGGGGCTTAGAGCAACGTGGTCTGGTGGGAGGTGTCCCTGCCCAGGGCAGGGGGTGGAACTGGATGGTCTTTAAGGTTCCTTTGAACCCAAACCATTCTATGATTCTAAAAATATGTTTACTTATTTATAAATCATATATTTGTAGCCTGAGGATATACGTTTAACAGCTTCTCACTGGTGATGCTGGTCAGGAAGGGTCCGTTGTGACAAGGTGACAGAGTCCTGGGAGCACCACTGGAATTTATTTTCCCAAATAACTGGGGGAAAGGGAGTAACGACGGTTTCTTTGGGAAGTGCTTCCGTACGGGCACGGTTTTCCTGTTAAGAAGCTTAGGGAGATGGCAAAGTGAGGAAGAAAAACCAGCCATCTGGGGCAGCAGATGTTTAGAGGTTGTTGGAAAAGCTGCTTTGAAGGAATTATTTGGATGAAATCAAGCAATTACGGGGTTATTTGATATTAAAATTCTAACCACGCCCAACTTTTCTTTAACTTCTCTTCCCCCCTGAGACTTCAATTCAATTCAGATTGGGAAAAAAAGTAACTCGGTCTTTATTCCTTGGCTGCTGAAAGAACTTTGAACCTGTTGTGTTAAGGTAATAGAGTTATTTCTATATAAATATTTATAGATAAATAAATACTTAAAAACACTTCAAGGGTGGGTGTCAGGAGGATGGGGCCAGGCTTTTTTCAGTGGTGCCCAGGGACAGGACAAGAGGAAATGGGCACAAACTTGACCATAAGAAGTTCCACCTCAACATGAGGAGGAACTTCTTCACTTTGAGGGTGGCAGAGCCCTGGCAGAGGCTGCCCAGGGAGGTGGTGGAGTCTCCTTCTCTGGAGACATTCCAACCCCACCTTGGACACCCTCAGCCTTTCCTCATAAGAGAGATGTTCTTGGGAAAAATCTTCATTGTCTGCTCGTTTCACACTTTGATTTAAGAAAAATCTGCACCCTGGGTATAGAAAAGAATTAAATTGCTTGTGTATTGTTCAAATTAAATATCATTTGAGAGCGTACGTTGATCTCAATAGTGCTTTGTTTGCAAAAATCAAGGCAGAATCTCTAAATAGTCGCGTGTTCTTCAACTGAAGATAAACATCTGCTGATTTGCAGCTCAATTGCAGGGAGTAAATGAAAAATTGAAAGCCCCATTTACTCGATTGACTTTGTGGCTTCTCCAGATTTTTATTGCAACTTTCCAGCATCATCCCACAAAACTTCATTAAAAAAAAAATGGAATAAATTTCTAGAGGTTCCTGTTCAACTGTGTGACCTGAATTTCCGCTCTTGGAGTATTTTTTGAATATGAATGAGCTTTCAAGTGACTAATAAACCTCGTCTGAGATTTATTTTGAATAAAGAACAACCTACACATTTGAAGAAGCGTAGCGTGCATGTGCTTTATATGTTAAAAAAATTATATCTATATAAAACCGTGCACAATGCATATTCCAACTATATATATGTTATATAAATACACATTAGATGTATAAAATATTTATATCTTGGGCATGTGTGTAAATATATATTTAGAAATGCAAATGTGGGACCTGCTCTTCAACTCATTAATGTCAAAATCTCCATCAAATGGTGTTCTCTGGGATGCCTTATGCCTCCCAGGAGTCAGTGTCAGCCCACACTTCGGCATCCTGAGCTGTATTTCTCCAAATATTTACGTGTTGGGAGCCTTCCTCCATCACACACCTCCAAATTTGCTTATTTTAAGACTTATTTTTAAACTTCTACGTTGTCTTTCAGAGACCAATGCGAGGAGTTTCGCATCCAGTGGACGAAGAAGCAGCAGAAGGAAGTGTTTGAAGACCAGCTGGCCCAGGTAGCTCTGAAGGAGGAACTGAGAAAGCAAGAGGAGGAGGAGGAGCAGATGCTTGCAGAGCTTTGGAAAGAGGACAGCTTGGCCAGGGAAAAGCAGGAGGCCATGGAGATGCAGAAAGCAGCAGAACAGAAGAGGGAAATGCTGAAGGTGCTCGATGCTCAGGTAGCGCTGCTCAGCGCTCACAGAGAGGAGGAGAAGAGGCTGAAGGAGGAAGAAGCTCGATTGCTGGTAATTTCCATCTCATTCTTAATTCAGGCTTTTATACGAGGCCCTCCTAACGATGGGCTTACAAGACATTTAGATTAATCCATCCCTTATTTGTATCTTCACTGATTCCATTAGTACCCGAGCCTGTCCTATTACCCTAAGCCTCTTTTCCAGAGCTCTGGTAAACTCATTCCTGTTTACAGAGGGAAATACATCTTGGGCAACTTAGCATTGTAAAGCCTGAGCCCAACTGCAGCTCCCAAACGACTCCTCTCAGCCCTTTCTCCCATAGCTTTTTCCCAAATCCCAGCTCCAAGGCTCAGAGCACAGGCAGCCAAACCCCTGCGGGGAGCTTGCAGAGCCTGTTGGTGCACTCAGGACCCTGACACATACAGGATGAGACACATTTCTATGAAAAAATCCTAACTGCTGACTTAATTTCGGAATCTACAGCCATTATTTTTATTTTTTTTTTAACAAATTAGCAAGCAGTGCCTAAGTGCTGTCACCTCTTAGCGCTGGCTGCTGTTGTGCTTCATGTCATGGGAGGCATTTGGCCTTGGCCAATGTTTCAGAGAATCACAGAATGGGTTGGGTTGGAAGGGATCTTAAAGGTCATCTTGTTCCAACCCCCTGCCCTGGGCAGGGACAACTCCCATCTTGTTCAAAGCCCTCTCCAACCTGGCCTTGAACCCCTCCAGGGATGCGGCAGCCACAGCTTCTCTGGGCAACTTGGGCAAAGAAGTTCTTCCCTCCCAGCAAAGAAGTTCTTCCCCACATCTCATCTCCACTCCATCTCCCATTTTTCAATTTAAAACCCTTCCTCCTCATCCTATGGCTCCCCTCCCTGATCCAGAATCCCTCCCCAGCTTTCCTGGAGCCCCTTGAGGGACTGGAAGGGCAGAGTTGTGGACTATTTGGGCTTCAAATAATTGCTCCATCACACAGGTGCATAGAAACATAGAAAGCTTAGAGTTGGAAGGGATCTTAAAGACCAGCAAGTTCCAACCCCCTGCCCTGGGCAGGGACACCTCCCACCAGACCAGGTTGCTCCAAGCCCCCTCCAACCCAACCTTGAATCCCTCCAGGGATGGGGCAGCCACAGCTTCTCTGGGCAACCTGGGCCAGGCTCTCACCACCCTCACACCAAAGAAGTTCTTCCCCACATCTCATCTCCATCTCCCCTCTTTCAGTGTCAAACCCTTCCCCCTCATCCTATGGCTCCCCTCCCTGATCCAGAGTCCCTCCCCAGCTTTCCTGGAGCCCCTTGAGGGACTGGAAGGGGCTCGAAGGTCTCCCCGGAGCCTTCTCTTCTCCAGGCTGAACCCCCCCAACTCTCTCAGCCTGTCCTCACAGCAGAGGGGCTCCAGCCCTCCCAGCATCTCCATGGCCTCCTCTGGCCCCGCTCCAACAGGTCCATGTCCTTCTGCTGTTGGTGGCCCCAGAGCTGGAGGCAGCCCTGCAGGGGGGTCTCCCCAGAGCGGAGCAGAGGGGCAGAATCCCCCCCTGGCCCTGCTGGCCACGCTGCTGGGGATGCAGCCCAGGATGGGGGACACTTTCTGGGCTACCAGCACATGTTGGTGGCCACTACCCTCTTTTTTCCCCCCCTCTCTCCCCGGTCAGGCTCGCTGTAGCGGTGCTGGTTTTAGAGAGACTTGAAATTTCACAATATTCTGCGTTGATTTCATGAGTTATGGGACAATATTTAGTTCAGACTCAAGTCATTTTGCAGCTATTTACACCTCAGGATTGAACGATCACTCAGGGTATTCTTCTAGCCACTAGAAGTTGATGTTGGCAAGGCATAGACTCCCCTATTTTTTAAAGATAATGACAATAATTAATCTTAAGCTCTGAAAATCCCGGCTGTAAAACAGTAGAGTCCTTATTCCTAGCTAGACCGGAATGTTTCACATATGTAAAAACATGCAAAATGAAATTATTTTCTTGTAACAACTTTTAAGGCACTGCCAAACCTCCCGGGCAAAGAACTCTTCTATTTAACTGGCCTTTAAACAAAAAAAAAAAGCTATAGAAGACTTTGTAGCTTCCCCTGAAGACATCTGCCGTGGGGTCTGGCAAGGAGATAAATTTCTGGTGGTTTAGTGTCTGAGAAAAAGCTTTCTTTAAAGTGTCCATAAAGGAGAGTTTCTGTCTTGAAAACGGGAGGTAATGGTTTCTCAGCAGAAGAGGGAGGTGACAGATGGCCTCGTTACAAGAGTTGGTATCTCTAATGAGCAGGGGTTTCATCTTTCAAGACCTGTTTCTGAGATCTGTAGAGAAGTTAACGATGGGCACACACTGTTTTATGACTCTGTTTGAGCTCAGTTCTGCTTATAAACTTATCCAAATGCAGGACATCCAGGAATTAACGCTAAATTACTTCGTTAACGCTACTTTGGGATTTTTTTTGGGCTAAATAATCTTGAATGTACATCCACCTGTTCAATCTTGACTATACATTTGCTATATTTCATTGTTTCTGTCCTAAGAACTCAGCTTTACTGTTTTTCTGCTCTTTCAAATATAAAGGGGAACGGTTTGAAGTGATGGAAATTCACAGAATCCCAGAATGCTATGGGTTTGGAAGGGACCTCTGGAGATCATCTAGTCCAACCCCCTGCCAAAGCAGGGCCACCCACAGCAGGTCCCACAGGAACGTGTCCAGGTGGGGTTGGAATGTCTCCAGAGAAGGAGACTTCACCACCTCTCTGGGCAGACTCCTCCAGGGCTCTGCCACCCTCACAGGAAAGAAGTTCCTCCTCATGTTGAGATGCAACTTCTTATGGTCAACTTTGTGCCCATTTCCTCTTGTCCTGTCCCTGGGCACCACCAAAAAACACCTGGCCCCATCCTCCTGACACCCACCTTTAATTATTTCTAGGCCTTGATCAGATCCCCCCTCAGTCTTCTCCAGACTCAAAAGCCCCAAGTCCCTCAGCCTTTCCTCAGCAGAGAGATGCTCCAGGCCCTTGGTCCTCCTTGTAGCCCTCTGCTGTCCCCTCTCCAGCAGTTCCCTCTCCTTCTGGAACTGGGGAGCCCAGAACTGGTCCCAGTGCTCCAGCTGGGGCCTCCCCAGGGCAGAGCAGAGAGGCAGGATGACCTCCCTTCAACCTGCTGGTCACATCTTGATGCCCCCCAGGATGCCATTGGCCTTCTTGGCCACAAGGGCCCATTGCTGCCTCATGGGCATCCTGTTGTCCACCAGGACTCCCAGGTCTTGTTCCTCAGAGCTGCTCTCCAGCAGGTCACCCCCAACCTGTCCTGGTGCAGGGGGTTCTTCCTCCCCAGGTGCAGCACCCTACACTTGCTGATACTGATTTCTCTGAAGAGATGACTCTTTTTATCCACTTGAAATATTTGGAGAACATCAGGTGTTCCGGTGTTTGGGTATTGAAGCGCGTGTGATAATTAAAGAGGAACAATCCCGAGTTCTAATGAATGATACGCTAAAACGTTCATGCTTTAACAGGTCTAATGGATGACGCTAATTCTCTCGTGTCGGCAAGAGAAGCTTCAAATATTTATCTCTGCTTTTCAATGTTTCAATTAAACTAATTGTAGCCATCGCTTAATTTGATGTGATGCGCTGATTTTACCAGCCGGCTTTTTTTTACCATTTGTAGGAAGAAGAGCAGCAACAGCTTAAGAAAGAAAAGGAGGAACTTCAGATGGAGAAGCTACGGAAGCAGAAGGAACGCAGGGATATGTTGCTCGGCGCGGTTCAGGACAAGCAGAAACGTCTTAACGAAGAAAAACAAGACGAATTCGCTCTGGACATGAAGATCTTGGAAAAATCTCTTCAGGATCCTCAGGAGGTCACCGAGGAGAAAAAGAAAAGAAAAGTAAGGGCTAGAGGTGTTAATTGTGAAGTTGTGGGGTAATATCTCATCTAGATTAATTATGTGGCCCTTAGTAAACAGCGTGGTATAAATGAGATCAGACACAAGTCCTTTTCCCTCAACAAATTGATTCTGTTGAATACTTTTTGTTTCATGGACCTGATTTATTAAAGGAAGGGAAGTAAATATTTCACTTATTCTAATTAACACTAAGAACCAGTTTTCAATCTTTAATAGCTGGATCTATAGATGCAAAACCTCACGTTAAATATCTCGGAGATGCCATGAAACACCTGTCACTTTTTGGAACTCATTCACTCAGATCTGCGTGTGTCTGTGTGTTTGCAGCAAGAGCTGCTGAAGGAGCAACAGACTTACCTGGCACACCTGGCTCAGCAGCTGGAGGAGGAGAAAGAGCGAGAAAAAGAAGTGGACAAGCTCATCGATGAAGAGATCGCGAAGGTTTGGGCCAAGAAGGCGGAGCAGATGCGATTAGAAAAGCAGGCTAGAAACCAGCTGCTGAAAGATGTCCTGGATACAAGACAACTGCAGGTGGAGGAGAAGGGTAAGTAGAAACAGCTCGCTCTCTGTGCATCCAACCCACTGACAAAGGCTTGACAAAGGCTGAGGGACTTCTTGGGGCTTTTGAGTCTGGAGAAAACTGAGGGGGGATCTGATCAAGGCCTATAAATAATTAAAGGTGGGTGTCAGGAGGATGGGGCTGGTCTTTTTTCAGTGGTGCCCAGGGACAGGACAAGAGGGAACAGGCACAAACTTGACCATAAGAAGTTCCATCTCAACATGAGGAGGAACTTCTTCACTTTGTGGGTGGCAGAGCCCTGGAAGAGGCTGCCCAGAGAGGTGGTGGAGTCTCCTTCTCTTGGGGACTTGGGGACAATCTTGGGGACTTGGGGACTTCTCTTGGGCTTGGGGACAATCTGCTCCTTCTCGGTGAGGATCATCTCGATGTGACAAGGGGAGCTCATGTAAGGGTTGATGCGACCGTGAGCCCGGTAGGTGCGACGACGCATTTTGGGAGCTTTGTTGACCTGGATGTGCTCGATCACCAGAGAATCCACGTCCAGACCCTGGTGGGGAGAGGGAGAAAGGTAAAACTTGGGAGTTTTCTCCTAAAATAAATAATCTCCAAGGAATTAGGGCTACAGAGATGATGAGGGGCCTGGAACATCTCTCTGACAAGGAAAAGGCTGAGGGACTTGGGGCTTTTGAGTCTGGAGAAGAGCAGACCAAGGGGGGATCTGATCAAGGCCTAGAAATACTTCAAGGGTGGGTGTCAGGAGGATGGGGCCAGGCTTTTTTCAGTGGTGCCCAGGGACAGGACAAGAGGAAACGGGCACAAACTGGAACATAAGAAGTTCCACCTAAACATGAGGAGGAACTTCTTCACTTTGAGGGTGGCAGAGCCCTGGCAGAGGCTGCCCAGAGAGGTGGTGGAGTCTCCTTCTCTGGAGACATTCAAACCCCACCTGGACACGTTCCTGTGGGACCTGCTCTGGGTGGACCTGCTTTGGCAGGGGGTTGGAGTAAATGATCTCCAGAGGTCCCTTCCAACCCCACATCATTCTGTGATTCATTCTGTGAAAGGTGGAGGGAGCCAACACGCTGCTTTTGGGATCTGGCCCCACATGCACTGGTGTGGACAACAATCCCTGAACCCGCTTCTCAAACTGCCCTCCTACAGGCATTCCTTACACTAATTTCCCGTTGCTGCCAGCAAAGTAAGGATTGCATCAGCAAACAATCATTATTATTAATTATATTATAATTATGATGAAGTTCTGAATGTGAAATCTCGCCTATTCTGATTGGGTAAAAAACCAAATAAGCTGAGAAGACACTTGCTGTTGTTTTGTGTTTCTCTTCAGAAGCAAGAAAGCTCAGGCTCGTTAATTAGATTACTTGGCTTGAATCCAATCCCTTCAAGCTTAGCAGTGCTGTTACCTTCTAAGATGTGTTTTTCATGGAATCATAGACTTGTCCAGGTTGGAAGGGACCTTTCAGATCATCGAGTCCAACCATCAACCTAAAAATCAAAAACCCATCACTAAGCCACGTCACTAAGCTCTACGTCAACCCGGCTTTTAGCCTGATAAGAACCATGTCACTAAGCTCTACGTCAACCCGGCTTTTAAATGCCTCCAGGGATGATGCCTCAACCACTTCCCTGGGCAGCCCGTTCCAAGGCTTGACAACCCTTTCCATCAAGAATTTTTTCCTCATGTTCATCCTAAATCTCCCCTGGTGCCACCTGAGGCTGTTTTGTTTTGGTTTGGTTTTTTCAGTGCAGAGAAATGCGAAGGAGCAGGAAGTACTCGCTCAAGAGAGGAAGTTATTAGCTGAAGCAATCACAGAACTCAAGCGCGTAGAAGACGAAAAATATGCCAGGTATTTTTCTTTTCTGCCATCAGTTCATTTCGTATCAATCTTTTAAACTTGTGAGGAGGCTAATTCTCATTTTTAGGTAACTCTGAAGAGCACTGAGTGGGCTGTCTTCTGTTCAGAGCTCCGAACTGCTCGATAGCAGCCCTGTTATACCGCAGCGGGTATGAAATCGTTAATTCTGCTCTCATCATCCAAATAATGGTGTGTTATTATTTTATATATCTCCTTGTTTTGGTCTTTTTGGACCATCGCGCGACTTCCATCCATTGTCTTAATTAAATACATGCTCTGGGCTGTTATTAGGAGTGGCAGAAGTTTGGGGAGGAGGGTTAATGACAGGTTGGTTGGTTAGTTAGCCGGGAGAATGAGTGCGTTCAGGCTTGTTGCTAAACCCCACCCACACGCAGCCCTTAAACAATCCACACACAGGGGGTTCTCCTTACCTTGCAGTTCCTCGGGGGGAGAACAACTTACACGCAGTAGCCCAAATGTTCCTCTGGGTGTCACGCGAAGCCTTGGGCAAAGGGCCTCCATTTCCCTTTACTCCTCCCCTTTCTCCCTCTTCTCCGTGACTCCGATGAGTCTCGAGGAAGAATGGAAGAAATTATTTCTCCCTTTTCCATCCTCGTATCATTCCATGACTCCGTAAAGGTGGCTGCAGGAACCAATCTGAGCTAGGAAGGGGCTGAGACCTGACGTTCTCATTCTCCATCCTCTCACCATCACCTAAAAGGAGTTTCAGAAAGAAACTATTTCTATGTCGTTTTCAGAAAAATAAAAGAAGCCAAAGAATATCAAGAGCAACTCCGGGCTCAAATCGCCTCTGAACGACAGGCCCGTGACGCCGAGGAAGAAGAGAAGCGGCAAGAATACGCGTCGTGTCTAGCAGCAGAGAGAGCTTACCAAGAAAGGGTACAGGCCCTTCTGTCTCGTGAAAAACCAGCAAAAATCCACCCTTTTAGAAGAGAACTCATGTCTAACTCTCAAGAAGATAATTTACAATGATTTCTTTCTTTTCTTTAGCTCACTCGGTTGCCTTAAAAAATTGTTTTCTAAGGGTGTTTTTAACTGAGTTAGTGGACTCCTCTCTGCTGCGATGCTCAAAATACTTAACTGGGAAATACAAGAAACATGGTATTTTTAAAGGTTGTTTTTCATGGCTTTTGGATTTTCTGTGACAAAATGACCGATCCGAATCAAAACGTGTGACATTTTAATCCAAGAATACTGTGTGTTCTCCGCAGTAAACGTGAAGGATATGTAGGCATTCTTTAAAATCTTCTATTAAAAATGCCTTTCAAACTGCAAATATTTGCAAAACCTTTTTCTTTTTGTATTTAGACAGAAAGCACCTGGTGACTCATCCTTATTTTCCTTGTTAAATATAAAACTCTGAATCTGTTTCACTATGGGCTTAGATGGTAAAGAGCTGATATTGCTTTGCATGTATTTTAGTTGCTATTGAATGATCTGTGGGATATGAGGGTCCCAAAACAAAATTGAGAGCTCTGCTTGGACAGATTTAGTCGTCCAGGCATTTGGAAATGCTTTCTTTTCTATCTTGCATTTTTCCATTTGAGCCTTTGCTCCTTCTTACCTGCAGATGTTTCTCTTTCCTCCTTCAGCTTTGACCATCTTTCCTCCAGCCCCTGCTTTGCCGCTCTTTTCTTCTCCAACTTCCATCCCTCCAACCTTTTCCTTTCAGTGTTGACTCCCAGGACTCGTGCGTTTGAAGGGATGTGGAGAGAAGCTGATAAACAGTTGGGATGAAAGCCCCAGCTCCCAGGCTTGGGAATGTTCTCAGCTGGAGAAAGAACAATTCATTCTTGGAATGAATTCTTGGAATCGCCTCATCTTCTTGGTTTAAAGCAAGTTGTGATTTGAGCAGAGCAACTTAGTTAATTACAGGTGGACAAATTCACACCATCCAGACAAGTGACCGGACACGGCAGAGCGGAGCTTCTTCACGTCTTGGTCCTTCCATCCCTTGTATCCAAACAGGATCAGTCTCCTAAAGCCTGAAAAGAAACATTTATAAACGTGAAAACATTGCAAACCAGGAAAGGTGGGTTGTTAGTCGGGATGTCAAGCCCTTGCATTGCTTTTTAGCAGCCATCTCCCAAGCCACACGGAGGATTTCAGACCCGCTCCTTCTATTTTCCAGGTGGGAAAGGCCATCCTGGATAGTGGGAATAGTTTCATCAGGCCAGAGAGCTCAGGTAGTCAGAGGTCTCTGCTCTCGCCGCTGGGTCAAATTAGCAGAATGATTAAGAGATTAATTTCCTGCTCTGCCACAGACTCCCTGTGGAGTTTTTTTTCTTCACTACTGTGACCCCTCTCTGAAAAATGAACATAACAGCACATTCAGAATTCCAAGATTAATTAAAGTGTGTTATTAAAGGCTGTGACATTGTCGTTGGGTGCACCTAATATGAGAGAGAAAAAGCACCACGTCGGTGAGCTCGGTGAATTTGAGCCACCCAGAACTGTAATAAATCATTTTTTTTAATAAAGTAATAACTCGGAAGAAGTGGTCATCAAGCATTTATAAAGTGTCTGAGCTCCTGCTCCTGGAGGCAAAATTCCTCTGCAACGAATATGAAGTTTGCACAAAAATAAAAGATCATACTGGAAGAGGTTTGACTTCAGCAGAAATAAATATCCCATGGGATAACGGGCAACAAAACTCTTCCGAGAGGAAACTTGTGGTCGATGAACGTGTTGCTG